TTTATTGTTTTATCATAACCAATATACTCAAATTGATTATTTTATTTCGTAAAGAAAATTCTTGTCGTTATCTGGGTTAATTAATTGCCCAAACGATATTACTAATTGTTAAAAGTGAAATTTGCTTGACGACCGACTAATTATACATTTATTTCAAAAACAAACATTTAAACAATTCTGTTTTTTTATCATAAAGTTCCACTTAATTCCATATATTTATGCTTGGTGAAATCTGGCATTCTCCTCTTGTCGCTGAAGAAGAAATTTCATGACCTACTTTTTATTCCACATTCAGTTAACAGTACAGCCAAAAACAAAATACATAACTGGTGAGAATTGAATCTCATACAAAGGTGACTCGATTCGTATAAACGCACAACTGTGGGTAGATCAGTGACAAGTTGTTTCAGTCCAGCTGATCCATACAAACGGTTTGAATCTAACCGTATAGTTGCGTGTACGAGTACGTTACAGTTATAATAGCGACACATTCAAACATGTTTGTAGCGTACATACGTATATACCAAAACTTTCGGTGTACACAGAAATAAATGTATATAACTATTTGTTTACATGAAGTCGTGATGAACCTGTTAACGAGCACCGATCTTCTCTCCACCATACATTCTTGGAAATCAACTCTGCGTTAGATAGTCCATGGACGGGAATGGTATTTCTACATAGAATTGGTTTTGGATGTGTGCGACTTATTTGGAGCCTATGTGTTGTGATCTGCCGACGTTGTGTATTGAGTGGTTTTGGACTGGTCACAAGAAAGTTTTTGTAAACAAATTTCAAGTGGAAATAGGGTCAATCAGAAATTAACATCAACTTGATTCTTTGTATTGCTTTATACAAAAGTTTTTCTTTTTTTATCAAATTAAAAATTTCTCAAGAATATTTGATACCATTTATTCTCAACATGGATGAGGAAGATAGTTTGTATATAGATTTCCCTTTTCTATTCTCCCACTTTTTCGAGTAGTTTTGTGTATTTTTATTTTCGCTTTTAAGTTTCACTTTTAAAATATTAGCATATTTAAGAAAATTAAGTGATAGCGGAACCATTTCATTTTGTGTTAATATTTTTTAGAAAACCGGTTTCCAAAAATGTATTGGACAGTCTTTTTTGCGTATTAACTCAAATAAATTTGAACAAACTTATATTATTTATTATTTAGAATTTTGTAAGAATACCAACTCTTCACAACTGTAAGGTTTGTTGAACTCGGTATTACCCAAATACGAATGAATCTATGATTCATGATTATTAACCGATTGTCGAAAATTATTTCAAAAATTTAACAGATATCGACAAAAAGTTTATCTGATTAAAAAAGAAAAAATTCTCTATGTACGAGGACATTGTTTTGTACAAATGACCCTAACAAAATTCAAATTTAATTGAAATAAAATCCATTTATTGCAGAATTCTTCTGGAAGAAATTGCACAGTTATAGATGAAACAAACATTTAGTTGTATTCCCTAATCGATTTTGGGATGTCCAATTTCCAGTTTTTTTATTTATAAACACGAATATAAGGTCCTTACGCAGTTAGGTAATACGGACTTTTAACAAATCCTAAAGTACGAGCCTATGAACTTAACTTAAAAATTCTATGACTAAAAACTTTATTTGAATCTTTAATTATTCGATAAATTATTTGAATCATTTTAACTAAACAAATTGTTTGTAGCATTCTGCAAGAATCTATTAATTTTTACTATTTTTTTTCGATATCAATTGTTCAGACTTACAGTTTCCTCAGTTAACCTTTTGTTATAGTTTCGTTAATTTTCAGAGTTTTTAAATAGTCTTTAGGGAACATTTCATACAGACATCTTAAATAAAAAGTTTGGATTTCATTTATTATAATACCGACCATATCAGAATCCGCTGTGAAGAATCATTATATGAAAATATTCTGGTTACCAAGAAAACTTTGAGTTCTTCAGGATACAAAATGTATAACTGGATATAGATAAAAACGCACATCTTTATATCAGTAAGAAAAATAATACCCACATGTAAGATAATCACTATACAAATCGTAGATTTCATAATTTGCTGCATAAACATTTTTTTAATTTTCACTTAACATGTAACAAATCAATTCTTATTACATTCACATTTTTGCAGGTATTTCCAAACAGCACAATTCATGTTCAATGGATTCCTCAAATCTCAAGGCTATCCTAAGAGCACGTTCTTCGATCCAAATCGACCAAGTGAAACTATATCCAATTTATTGGATCACGTTGCCAAACATCATTTGAATGTCAAAATCGATTCGCGGCAGTATGTTAAACCCGCAGTTGGATACGCAAAGGATTTGCTGCAGCTCGGACAGGCCCGAGGACTTTTGCAATTTAATGCCACCGAAATTAGTGACAAACTGACAGACACCATTAACTTGGAGGTAAATTAACAGAAGGACAAAAAAGTCGTTAATCTCAAAATATACTATACAAAGCCTCTAATGCTAACAATTTAATAAAATTATTTTTTTCCATGATGTAGGTTATTGAACCAGTTCTAAAAGTTCATCGTGCGTACCGCTACATTACCAAGCAGCCGCAATGTGATCGTTATGTTTTGTGTCAATTAAATGATGCCGAACAATATTCTGCTGAAGAATCAAGAGGTCTAATATCTGGCGTCAGTCCGAAAATTGTTAAAGTTGGCAGTATGGGTGCTGCGTTCTTCATTAGTACAGAAACAGGAACTCCATTCTGGACATTGTTTAGTGTCATTACATCGGCATCGAACTGTGAGGTGAGTGCAAACAACTTTAGTGATATGTTGTGTGTATGTGTGAAATAATAATTAGAACAAACCAACAAACAGTTCTGTTACCATTTATAGACATATTTGCAGCAATTATTAGCTCTTTTTTCTCTTCATATCCACATACAAACACATATTCTTTATTGTATAACTGGTTGTCTTTTCCACCTGAACATTAATTTCTAACACATTTCTTTCAAATTATTTTCTAGGTCAAATATCCTGTTGATTGTAGCGGTTTTCACGAAGGTGAAGCTAGGGTGACTACTGAATACATACACAACGAACTATAATTCCTTCAACTGACTCTGATAGTAGAGAAATGCCAATTAACAGAACAAAGTCGTGGTACTATATTTATCTATGCATGTATTGTACGCTCTAGTTACAGACTCGCAGATAGAACACGCGTTAATTTTTTATTTTTTAATTTAAGATAGCATTAATTTAAGATAGCATTTGGTTCGTTGTAAGTGCATCGTTGTCCCAGTTAAACGAAAACATGACAATTGGAATTCAAGTTTTCTGTCATAATCTCAATTTGCAATAGGTTATTATTAATTCTTCGATACTTTAAGCTATAAAACTAATTTAATTTTACACGATTTTACTGTGAACATTGTAAGGTTTAAATGTAAATAGTATTATCTCATATGACTAAAAAAAATAAATGAAATTTAAATTAACTGTGGTTTATGTATGTGTTTACAATTGTAAAGAAATATTTTTAGTAGGGTTTGTGGTATATTTGTGATACCATTTTTTATTCTTGCAAAACTAGCTTACTTTGTATTGATATCATAAAAAATATAAGGTTTATTCAAAAACTGTTGTTGGGACAATTTCCATGAACCTCATGTTATTAAAAGAAACGTTTACAACTCATTTAAATATTTATTAATGGTATAAGCATGCATCTTAAGTAAATTCAATCATAAATGCAATTTCTTTGTCCTAACCATAAAACCCTTTAATGTCCTCTATAAAAAAAATCCGCTTTGGGAAAAACTAGTTATTCTGGATTACAGGGAGTGGGAGAATGTGATGAAATTTTGTGCGAAATTTTTCGCTAATAAATTTAAAGCGAGCTGACTACAAAAATATAACAAATAAATATTTTTATGAAAAATATGTACACAATACTTATTCTTTGACGATTGTGAATATTATAAATGGTTGTATGCATATTTTTAACTCAAAAACAACAAATAAAATGCCATTGGGGAGATAAAATATCGAAATTAAATAAATTCAATTCAATTTATTTCATAAACAAGAACCTAGCCCAAAGGGCCATGAGCGATTCCAAAAACTTCTTTACATGGACTACTCCAAAAGCTTAAAATTAACAGTATATCACTTAATTATATCATAAACAACAATACATGAACTACGAAAAAGGCACACAATTATGTAGTGAAATAATAATCTTTATTATGTTTAAAAAACAATAAAAACGTAAAAGTTTTTAATAAAAACAATTAATAAATAAAACATTGAAAAATATTACAAAATAAATTACAATGGGGAAACACACATTACAACTTAAATTACAATATAGCAACACGAACATTTTTTTCAACCACCATTTTTGAAAATTCGCATTTTTTGCTTTTTCTATTCATTCAGAATAAGGCGAGAATGTGAAAGCGAAAAAAAAATCCAAAGCAAGATATCTGCCCAGCGAATATCTAGAAAAAAGCTGATAAAGTTTTGTCTGTCTATTAGTGCAGGCCTGTGCAAAGAATTTCCTTACCCAGCTTATTTTTATTCCCGCATGTGAGTGGGTTAGTAGACGTAGGCTCCAAAAGGACAGGACAAAATAACCAAATGTTTACGCTATTAAATGCATTTTCAATGTCCAGGAGCAGATTACTTATACTTACGATAATTGTCACAACTTAATATGGCGAACGTCACCCGGGCGATGCGCCCGAAAGGGACCCTCACGGGGAACACATATCAAAATCTATCAGGCAGTTCATATGGGAAAACAAAAAACTTCTAAGACTATTTTTTATATTTATTGAGAAATAAAAAAATCAATATCTTCATAGGTGCATATTTGTGTTTTGTGTGTTATAAATTGTATTGATTTAGTATTAATTGTAGTTATCAAGTATACACATCATATTGCAAATTGTATATGCCTTTGAAAAGGGGGGAGGGTAGCAAGAGTTCATAAAATACAAACATTATCACAGTGACTCATCATTTCTTCATGTGTTTGCATACCCAGTCCATTCCTTCCTGTAAAAGTAGTAAAATGCATAAACCAAACAGTTAAAATATAAACATTACATCAAAATGTAAATTCTACATACTTTGATTCCCGTCCCCTCCACAGCTGAACATGCCTTAATTTGCCATGTGCGCTCTTCCAAACGTACCAAACCAATTGCCTCCGCCACTTCAGATGATGTCATTGCATTTGGTAAATCTTGTTTGTTGGCAAATACTAAGAGAGGCACCTGCTTTAATCGATTGTCCATTAATATTTCGAAGAGTTCGTTTCCCGTTTCACCCAATCGTTCCCGATCAGTACAGTCTATTACATAAATCTTAAAAGAAATTAAAACGTGAAAAAGTTTTCATATTTCTTTTTTGGTTAATTCGCAATGAAAATTTTATATTAAAGGAAAACTTGGGCATGAATTTGGCTCCTGTGTCACCTTTTATTTATTTTATTTATTTATATATTTCATAGTGCCCAGTCTTTCGACCTTAAGGCTGTAAGCTACATTTGACAATTAAATATAAATTTTATCGTATTAAGCGGCTTAAATGTAAAAGGGAGGGATATTGAACTACTAAAGAATATTATACCGATCAAATTACAAAAAAAAAAGTTTTTGTTTATTATTATAGGTTATGATTAAAAAATTTGATTAATTGGATTATGACTACTCCAGTAGGAATGGAATGGAAAATTATTATATATAAAAATGAGTTGTGTTTTTATCTAAATAATTTGTATCACAAATATAAAAAAAAATTAAACATACATACGTACATTAAAAAATTTAATTGAATTGAATGAAACCCATGGAATCCACATCGAAAAGTGAAACCCAAAGTGAGAAAGTGGAACTAAAGCCATATTCTGATGGACAGTTAACGACGTTGATTCCACAAAAATTACTTACAGAAATTAATCCATTCATTAAATGAACAAAATTTATTATTTGATATTTTATCCCAATTTTTGTTTGTTTTATATTCTAATTAGAATCGAATGGAAGCAAAGATATGTGGAATTAAGTGGGCAACTTAACTTACTTTCCTCTATTTTTTATTTATTATTTCATTATGTAACAATAAAGCCTTATAAGGCCAAACTAAATATGTTACATTCTAAAAATGTACGCCTAAAATAAATTTCCATTCATATAATTAAACATTTTCAAATATCATAAAAATTTCATTATAATTACGTAATACTGTTTTGTTTCCCCAACCAAAAAATATATAAATATTGAAACAAAATAAAAAAGTCCAAATTAGCAATAACATAGTGCAAAATCACATTAATTTCAAATAAAATAGCATATATAGATATGAGAGTATAAGTATATATCAAGTGTTTAAGAAGTAATCATTTATTTTTCTACGATTTATTTTTCAACTCCTGGCAACACGAACCTAAAATGATCTCTCAAATATAGAACAAGATATCCTCGGAATAACCAAATTTGGGTTTCTCGTTGACCGAGAAAAGGTAAAAGACTGTCGAAAGGAATAAGGAATTCCCCTTTTGGCCATATTGTAAAAAAACTGCAAGTTACATCTGTCCACATAAGACATAAATGGAACTCCCAAAAATTGCTGAGTATGTTCAGAAATGTGATGCCATCAACCCAGGTTGAAAACAAAAAGAACTATGGTGTTTACTAACCTCTTCAGTCTCTGCATATTACAAGATCGAGTTCCTGAAATAATTTCTAAGTCATACCGTATATTTGGCATCAATAGATCATGTGCTAACCTTATTTTAACCCAACGTGGAAAGTACACACTACAAGAATAAATTTTACGTAGTGTACCATAAACTTGTGGTTAATATGCAAAAAAAAAAATAAATATGTCATCCGCAAAAAAGAATGGAGTACAGATATCGGAGTCTAAAACTGAGAAAGATCATTTAGATATAAAATAAATATCGGGGGCCCAAGGACAGATCCCTGTGGGACACCAGATTTCAAAGAAACAATTTTAGATCTTGCACCATTGATTTCAACAAACTGAGACCTATCTGTCAAGTATGAAAGTACCAAACGACATGCAGACTTTGAAAAATTGAATTGTGTATGCAGCTTATTAATCATTATTGAATAAGATATAGAGTTAAAAGCCTTGGTCAAATCCAAGCAAACTAAGAAGGACATCCTCCCTATATTAGCATTACATCTAACCATATCAGTAACATGTAGCAATAATGATGTGGTATTATGACCACTACGGAATGCATGCTGGTTATAAAATAAATCATTCTGAATTTGTAACAAAATCTGCTTCTTCATCAAATGTTCACACACCTTCGACAGAACAGGTAAAATTGAAATATGTCTTAAATCGTTGGGAGAAAGTACCGATGATGTCTTAGGTATTGGGACAACCCGTGCTTTTTTCCATGCCAACGGAAAAACAGATGTTGTAAGAATACTATTCATCAAATCCAAAACGATTTCAGAAACATAAGGGAAAATAGCATTCAAAAATTTCAATGATATGTTATCCACACCAACAGCCCTCGACTTTATTTTTTTAAGTGCCAGAACAACATCTTCAACGTTTACACATCCAAAAGCAAATGAATTATCCGTTTCAGAAAACAAATTGAAATCAACATTATTATAAACAATAGAATGAACATTATCAGAGAAAAAATATTCAGCTCATCTATGTTACCATCGTAAAACATACTATCATCACCAACACATGCAGACTCCCTAAGTACCTTCCATAGTCCGCATGTATCCATACCACTAAACTGCTTCATATAATGCCTTCTTTTCTTCTTACGAATAATAGATTTGCCCTTTTCCTATACTTAGTATACACTTTCCAGAGTCTATCACAACGATTCTGCCGATATGCTTGATGACAAGTCTCTCAATGATCTAAAAAAACGTATCTCATTGCAATCCATCCAGATATCCACCTTTAAGGGTAGTCTCCTTTTAACAATCGGAACAAATTTGTGTAAATCATTAGACTAGAAAGTACATCACACTTAACGTTAACATCACAAGTAGCATAAAATGTAGAAAAACCATAACCCGATAGATAAGCCAATAACCTATCCCACTCAATATTAGTGTAACCGTGAAAAAATACAAACTGTTCTGATTTCTCAAAATTTATGTGAAATGAAGAAAATATGAGAGCATGATGCGACATTACAGGACACTGCATCTGGCCAGATGAAAGGATGTTTAAATTAGGACTCACAATCATAAAATCTATTAGGGAAGATGAACCGTGCGCGACATCAAAATGAGTGGGTCTAGAGTTATGATGAATAGAGAGACATAACCTCGAACAACAAAGACGGAAAATAGATGACAATGAAGTATTGAACAAGTTTGTGTTGAAGTCACCAACTGCAATAATATTCTTATATTTTAAAAATTTTTTATATACATTCAATTTTAAAACAAATGTGAATTTTCTATTCCATATACATGAGAGATAAACCAGATATATATTTCTTTTCGCTAGTGCTATAAACCGTTGTTTTTCAAACAACGAAATAACCCCCAGAGAACGCAGTTAAAACGAATAAGGAATAACGGGTTTTAGAAAAAGTATTACACAAATCGCGGACAAAGGTATATTGATAAAAGATATAACTTTGGCCATAATTAATTTATAGCTTATATTATTTTTTACCAAAACATCGGTATTCGCAAAGTAGTTCTTCCAGTAAGGTCGAATTTTCCACTGGCCTCCAATATCCCATACATTTAATTTGAAACCATCTGCAGATACGGATTTAATGTTAAAACCAGCAGTCGGCGTAACCTGAAAAGGATGAATACTAGTCAAATAAACACATACAATTACTAATCAATTGAGCTTACCGTTGTAATTTCTTCGTTAGCCAACTGTTTTAATATAGTCGTTTTCCCCGCGTTGTCTAAGCCCAGCAATAATATTCTGGCTTCTTTCTCAGGATTTGGTCTCAGCTTTCTAAGTAATGACAACAGACCCTGGAAAATATACATAAATTGTTGGTACAAATTGAGCTTTCGAAAATGAATAAATAAACGAAAATGAATGAATGAATTTTGCGAACACTCATTTCTTTCAATATGTTTTGGCATTTGAAGTAATTTCCTGTGCAGATAGTGCTAATTAGCGTCCAAATAAAATTTGGGAAAAAAGACATATTCTGTGAGTCGATCTCCGGCGAGACAGGCATGTATTGAACAAAATAGTGTCAAAGTATTACTAAAATATCCGGTGGGTTGTAGCCCGAAGTGGAATGGCAGGTTGATATGTACCTCTAGGAAGATCACTACGAAGTTTCGCTACACAAACATTAAGAAATATTTTAGTGTTACCGTACCAGAGCACAACGAAAGTCGTAGTGTTTAACAAATTGTTTTGTATGTTCGCTTACCCAATAATTTGAACAAATTGTTACTGAATGTTGTTCGTTTACGCAAAAGTCCAGCAAAAGAGAGACAAAATTTGACAGTTGTGTTACTGAGTATTTACAAATTCTTACTGGGAAATTTTTCCCAGTACATATTTTGCAGTAACATCAGCTGTGTCTTGTTTACCTTTCCAGTAAAATTTACTCAGTAAGTTCTATTTTAGAGAGTAAGTCGCTTTTATTCTTCTATTTGCAAAAATTGTGTAGAATGTTCAAATTTGAAATTAACTACTGATTGAAATACATCGAACTGTGCAAAATAAATGTTACTAGAAAAATATTCCTAATAACATTTATTATGTTCTCACTTTTACTGGATTTTGGAGTAAACAGTAACATTTGGTAACAATAGGTTCATTCGTTTACTTTCCCAGTAACATTTACTCAGTAAGAATTTGCAGAGAGTAAATACGAATTTTTCATTCTCAAGAGAGAAAATAGCAAAAAAATAAACGAACAACAACCAGTAAAAAGATTGTATCGCCACAGCTGATTTAAAAACTACAAACAATATGTCGCAAACAAAAAAGCAGCATTTTATTAGAAAAATGCGGTTTCTTTATCCATTGTACTGTTTAATGATACAAAACCAAAATAAAATTCACAAAACAATCAATTTGCCTGAGAAAAATTTTGTTTTTTACAAAACATAACAAAACAGCTGATTAAATATCAGCTGTATCACAACTGTTAAGTCTGTTCTCTCAATTCACTCTCTTTTATTGGACTTTTGGATTATCGAACAAAATTTTGTACAAATTTGTATCAATTATTAAGTAAAGGAATGAACAGTAAACAGACGCAACCAAGATCTAATAAATAATTTCACCCAGCTCACGAAAGTCAACTGTTTTTTCTCAAGTCTAATGTCAAAAAATGAACTTTGTTTACATTTTCATGATGGTAGTTAATTCACAATAATGGATTTTGGCAGCAAACTTGAGAGGCAGCTGTTATCCAGCTGGTCTCCCTGGGTGACCTTATTAATAGACCTTGGTCGGGACAAAAACAAATGCATGGCCTATAAATAAGGTCACCAAGGGAGACCAGCTGATTATCGATACCTCTCAAGTTTGCTGTCAAAATCCATTATTGTGAATTGACTTCCATTATGAAAACGTAAACAAAGTAGACATTTTTGACATTAGACTTGAGGAAAAACAGCTGTTTTTCGATTTCGATTGCTATCTTGGTGACCTTATTAATAGATCTTGAACAAATGTTTTTGTTTTGATACATCAGCTCTGTCTGTTAACTCGATAATTTGTAACAATTGTTACCAAATGTTACTAAATGTTGTCTGTTTACACAATAATCCAGTAAAAGAGAGTCAAGTGAGAGAGCAAGTTTGACAGTTGAACAACAACAAAGTTGCTGCAGTTTACTGAAAGAATTTTATTCAGTAAGATTTTGCAACTCAGCCATTTTCTGATCAGCTGTTTTCTGACCAAACACAAAAATTATTTAAAACATTTTTTTTAATTTGCAAAGTTCAATTCAAAGTTAATTACAGAAAATGGAAGAAAATTCCTAAGTAATGCAAACTTTCATTAAATTAAAAACTAATTTCTTATATATTTTTAGCCATGTTCCAGATAGAGGGCAATGTATTGATGCAGGTAGCTTAAATGTTCCCGGGGAACAACCAGATCAATTTTTCTTTTATTATTCATTTTATTTTTAATATTAAATGCAATACAAATAATTGTGTTCGTCCTTTGTTTGTTGTTTATTTTGGCGCAAATCAAATGTTTTCTTGAATCAGCTGTTTAATTGCTAAATCGTACTAAATGTTGTCTGTTTTCTTTTTTCAGTATTATCGCAAAAGAGAGTAAGGAAGGCTTACTCTCTGAACTAGAACTTACTGAATAAATGTTGCTGGAAAAGTAACCAGGCACACCTATCATCACCTTATTATCGCGTTTTGAAATGCTGGGTGACTTTATTAAGAAATGAAGACAAATACAATTTCGATACTTTTTCATTTTCCAACCCTTGTCCCTACGCATACCTATTAAAATATAGGCAAAATACGAAAACAACAGTGACACCTTTAAAATGCACTTTTGTTCCAAGTAATATATTTCTGAGCCTATGAATACAATATTTATTGGGCCACATATATGCAATACCGAAAGACAACATCTTTTTTGATTACTGTGGGAAGATAACATCTGATTGTGGGTAAGTAAAAGTATGAATTTGTTGCCATGGTAACTTCTTTTGTTTTCGAATTACACACCACAATATTAAAAAAATACATAATAATTTATTACTTTTTACTTCCAAATCCATACCATTTTAACTGCAAATCGTTTTGCAAATATTCACAATGATTTTGGAACAATCAATGTCGCGAAAACAATAGAAATAAAAATTGTACAACGATACACTTATGAGGTCTAATACACACTGACACCGACGTGGCGTGACAAGTTAACTGAATGGAGGGTGGCAGTGGCAAACTTGCATGTAATTACAATGGAGATCACCTAGCAACGGCTGACATAAAGCACAGCGGAAAACAATGGCTGGCTTGTGGTTCTAATCATTTCGGCCAGTTGGATATATTAGAAAACGAACGTTTAATACGATATATGAAAAGTAAGTTACAAAATTTGTTTACGCCTCGAGTTAGTATTGTAATCTTTGCACAGAAATTGCACTCGAAGGAAGTATTCGGTGCCTTACATCTTCATGGAGTTATGTGGCAGCCATCAATGGATGTTCAATGCAAATATGGGGTTTCATCAACTGTCAAACGAAAAACATAAAAAATATAACGGTCGACAACACAATCAAAACTTTAGCATGTTGTGATAGATACTGCCTACTTTTGCTGAATACCGGAACGGTATTCAAATACAATGTACAATGTCTAGATGATAATTTGGAGGAAATCAAGTTCCAAATAAATGAAAGTCACAAACCGAAAAGACTGTCCATCTTTGGGAGTTCTGCAACGTCTTCGTCCAATTCGGTTTTAAAAATAGAAAACATAGCGTGTGGAAATACTATTATGGTAGCCATAGGTATGTCTAATGAAGTATTTACCGGAACTACTGAAGTACATCGTTTTCCTAAACATGTTAGAACAAAACAGTTGGTATGTGGTTTTGAACATGCCCTCTTGTTAACACATAACGGAGATATTTATACCTGGGGCAATGGTTTGTAAGTATCCATATAGATATACATGTATATTTGCCATTGAAAACTATAAAGCAAAGACAAATATTTGTTTTTCAGAAGGGGCCAATTGGGATTGGATTCCATAGGCGTTAAAATAAAACCCATCCTCTTAGAAGCAATGGCTGGAATCAAGGTAGGCTGCAACAAAATAAGTCGTCTGTTACGTGTCTATAGAACATCGTTTTGGGGGATTATCCTGTTTATTTTTGAAATACCTTCATTAATTGTAATTATTTTTTCGTATTAAAACTAAATACCAGAGAACAAAATATTATACAGTAATAGACATACCCATGGTACAATGCCTTTTAAAAAGTGGTAAAAGTAGGGAATACATTTCTGAGTTTTTCTGGGATAATTTAATGCCTTAATTATGCCCCCAACTAAACTTTGGTAGACTAATTATTCGTGTTTTTTATAAAATAAAAAAAATATTTGCAAAAAGTAGGACAATTTGTTGCATTTGTATTGTATTTATTCTGACTTAACAAACCATAAGCTATATCTGTATTTTTCCTTCATTGTAATAATTTACATAAGGGCATTTCCGGAAAAGGTAAACCAAAGTCGAAGATTTTTTTCTTTAATTGTACTTATTTATTGAAGTTGCAAAGTAAGTAAACATTTGTCATTTTTTACACAATTCGCGGAGTTCTCCCATTATTAGCAATGCTGTTTTGCGGCTTTTATTTCATTTATAGTTTTATTTTGCCTCCGTGACCGCGAAAGTGTACTATGGGTAATACTGGGTTTGGGACTAGTTTGGAATATAGTTAAAATCAATATTCATGGAACAACTCAAAAAATTCTTTGAATTTAGAGTGAGAATTGCAACGAAAACATATAGACCAAATATTAAGGATATTTTTAAATATGGACCTATTTTGAAAGATTCCGGAATACCAAAGTACGATTGGTAAACGTTTTTTGAAGAAAGAATTCCAATCATAGAAGTATTGTGTATTGTGCCAAAAAAAAATTATTTTCGATAAATTAAGAATTGTCTTTTTCGGGATCAAATATTCTTGTTTATCAATTCAGACATTAAAGTGCTAACATCTCCAAAAACTTATTTACATATATTATTTTTTTTTTTTACTCTTTATTACATTATAGATAATTTGTATAACAGCGTCCGGATGGCATAGTGCAGCCATTTCCACATTCGGGGATCTTTACACGTGGGGATTCAATTCTAATGGACAACTTGGTTTAAGAATTTATAAAAACGATACCATTAAAGAACCGTCTATATACATGGTACCACAATTGATCGAATTAACAGACTTAAACTGCTGTGAACAAAAGACAGAACCTTGCATTCCAATAAAAGTTACAGGCGGTGCGAGACATACAATTGTGCTAATGAATTGCGGAGCTGTTTTTTCGGTAGGTTGGAATGCATATGGACAGTTGGGCTTGAAAAACAACAGAATGTACATAGACAAATTCACACGTATACTTAAAATCGAAAATTGTATCGACGATGTGGAAATTGTGTGTGGATCTTGGAATACATGGATAACTATGCATACTGACAGCAAATATGTACATTATAAAAACTGATCATTCTCCTCATTCTATAGAGTGTTTGTTATTGTTTAGGACTATGAACTTGTACTTGGCTGTTGTGTTTTATTTATTATAATTATGAATGCTTACATTTTTGGGTCAACTTAGTCAATGAAATCTTCGAAAGGTATACGATCATTATTATATATGCGTATGTTATTACAAAATTATACAATTGTTCGTTAACTTAGTTTCAATAATTTACAAAATAAAAAAATGGAATATATTTATATATTTTTTAAATTTTCATTAAAAATTACTTTAAACAGACTATCAGGTAGTTTTTGAGATTTAAATATAAATACAAAGACTTGAGTTTTTATCGTAAGTCAATTCAGCGTTGGAATGCATTCTGTATTAAGGGGTGGTATGTTATCTGTTGATGTTGGCCTGCTATCATTATTCTGCTCAAAACTATTTTCTGCACTCGTGTTAGTAACACTCGTCAAGCTGGAATCGTTGAAAATGCTTAAATTTGGCACATCTGCATCGTCGTCATCATCAACATCGTCTTCATCATCAGAATTGTCAGTCTCGTTGTCTATTACTGAGTGAATCATGTTCATCTCATGGCCTATGGCTTCTACTACGCAAGGTACCTCGCAGGACAGTATGCCAATACTGGTTGAATTTGTAGAAGTGCTGCTGGCACAAAAATTTAGAGCCACCGATGGCACGTCTTCTTCCATGTTATTTATTTCTTTGGAAGCATTGTCTCGTTCACCATTTAAGTTTAAAGCGCTTATCGCTGGTAGGTCATGGCTCATTTGTGTAACATTACCAATGTCATTGGAAAATGAGGAATTATCGCTTGCAGGAATGTCGTTATTTGAACACTTATTTTCGGCAGATGAAATGGAAGAATTTCCTCCTATTAAAAAGCTTAAATTTGGCGTGGAATCGTTTTTTAAGCTGCTTGAGGACTTCATCAGTAAAGGCAAATTAGGCAAATTATCTGCCGTTGTTGATGAGGCATCCCCATTCGCTGTTTCATGTGAATGCTCATTTACAGTGTTCATCTCGTGTTGATTTGTTAGTGTGGCAATTGTCTGAACGTTTTCCGCTAGCTGTGGCTGAGTAAGTTGTTGTAATTGTTGTTGTTTCATTAGCCTAGCCGACCTTAACAACCTGGGTGGTGGTGTTGGTGCTTCACCATTGTCGCTAATTGAAGCAAATAGTGGTGCAAAATATTTATCATTAGGACCTCTGTACTTAGTGTAAAAATCTTTGTTGTTGTCCATCGAACTACCCTCGAAATTTGCGTTTTGTTGTAGCAGTTCAGTACCGGGATAATATTGACTATCTTCGGCAATATCCCTAACATTGGCAATTATCGCTGAGGGAAGATCACAAGAAATTTCAGCTGCAGGTCCCTCTTCTGGTCGTTTAGGTATTTGCTCTATAAAATGTAATATATAACAAATATTAAAGTTAATAGTGAGCTAATAAAAAGCAACATGAAAATAAGATTAACATCACAATATATTTTGGAGTTTCGTGGATACTATATACAATTCTATAAAGGGTATCTTGGGAATGGTAGGCTATGTATAACACTCCATGACTCATTCCTATAAAATATTTTAATTAGAACCCCATGGTATAATTATAAAAGGTAACATCAAATTCCAGCAGATTTGATTTCAACGTAATACTAGTGTCAATATGAATATGACAAATTATTGGTCTGTTCCCGTACTGCAAGAATCTACTAATTTTTACTACGATAACGAATTATCCTTTATGATATCGACGAAAATAGTAAAATCGAGTAGATTCTTGCAGTACGGGAACAAACCATATGTTTTTAAAAATGAGCCAACAGAAAAATTGGGTACGCATACAATTCGAAATTGTTCCTCCCGTATTCAATTTACTCAATCTGCCTGCTGGAAAAGTTTGAGAAAGCAAATCTTTCTTCATGGAATAACTCGCAATTTCCAACATTATTATATATCGAGGTGTATTTAATAAGGTGTATGCATCAGATACAACAACAAATGTTTTGTGTTCCCACGATAATCGGATCTACGCTCCGGAACGACCCGAGTTCGACTCGGCCAGGGATTGTCAACTTAGCGACAGCTGTACAAAACGAAAGTTTTTTTCTGTTCCAAGTGGAACTGTTCGGTTTGCGGGGAAATCATACGGAGAAATATGACATCTGTAAGGTGCAATGGTTGCAGAAACTGGTGTCATATGAGAAGATGTACCACCCTGCGTTTACACAGGAATTGGAATCCAGGCTTTGTAGCCGATTGCTGCACTAACAATCCAGCAATATCCGCTAGAATCCAGTGCAGTCCTTCCAGTACTACGGCTAGCACTCCGTCTAGTTTTCCATCCAGTAGTACTGCTACTAGTGTGAGTACTAGTGGTAGAGCTAGTTATTCCATTAGCTCTTCCTCCAGTTCTGCTGCTAGCTCCCCGTGATTCGCAAGCACTCCGTCTAGTTCTCCATCCAGCAGTACGACCACTAGTGCTCATACTGGTAGTGAAGTTAGTTATTCTACTAGCTTCTCTTCCTATTCTACGGCTAGCACTCCGTCTAGCCATTCATCAATTCATTCTAGTGTTTCGACTAGCACTCCTTCTAGTCAACGAATGCTCAAAACTTCCCATCCAGACAACAGCGTTACAGGCAGGTTCTCCGTTCGCCGAATAACTCCACCCGCCTGCCACCACAGCAGCAGTCCATGCAGGGGAGTGATCCAAATACCTCATTCCTAATCATGCAATTTAATTGTAATGGTCTTAGGAATAAGGTAATTGAGATCACAAACTTTATGCATGAAAACAACATCCTCATTGCTGTCTTGCAAGAAACGAAGCTGACCAGTAGTTGTTCCTTATCCTCCTCCGGGAATTACAATATCATTCGGCGAGACAGAGATAGAGACCATGGCGGTGGACTCGCATTCATCATCCAGCGAGAAGTCAGATATACTCTGACTACCCCTCCGTCTCCTTCCCAGTCTGATCATTTCCTGAAGGTTTTGAGCATTTCAGTTCATTCCGACGATGCTGAAATTGAAATTGTCAATGTATCCGCTACTAATGGGGAATCCTACCGCCCGATTTCTCTTCTGCTTCCGTCCCTGAGACAGCATTTCGTTCTTGCTCCCCACCAACACGGTTTCAGGGAGTCATATAGCACAACTACGGCTTTGCAAGAAATTACTTACAAGATTGCGAATGGCCTCAATCAGCGACGACCACCTGAACGGCCACAATGCAGCTCTAGATCTGTCCAAGGCGTTTGATACCGTCGATCATTCCGAGCTGATATCCGATATCAAAAATTCCACCCTTCCGTGTGATATCAAACGTTGGCTTGCCAACTACCTTAATGGGCGGCAGGCCATCGTTGAGTTCTGTGGCCAAAAATCCAAATATCGCAAGATCAAAATGGGAGTACCGCAAGGCGGTGTCCTTTCTCCCATTTTGTTCAACATGTATTTTGCGAAACTCCCCATTCCTCCACCAGATGTCTACCGTGTCACTTTTCACTTCCTGGACGCGAGAAGTCAATCTAGAACTTGACATTTTCGTCAATCTAGAACTTGACATTTTCGTAGGCGCATCCCCACCGTCCATAATCCGAAAATCCTTGAGGTGGTTTTCGATAACCTCCTTCATTCTCCTTCTATAAGGCTTTAGGTCGTTCCATCCTGAATTATGCTGCCCCAGTCTGGACTTCTTTCCTTAGCGACACACAATGGAGATCATTGCAAACAACCCAAAATAATGCACTCCGAATTGCAAACGGGTGTGTCCAGATGACGAGCGTCGATCACCTCCATGAGGAGACCAGGATGCTGTCAGTCAAGCAACATAATGTGTTGTTGACTAGACAGTTCCTGTTGGCATGCTATTTGCCGTGTCATCCTAACCATCACACTGTGACGGCAGATCCACCTCCGCGACACTTCCGCCAGGACTTCAGGCGCTATCGTGATGGCATTCAAGACGTCATTCCATCGGACGTCAACAGATTGTCAAAAGGGAACGCGATGAAATCCGTGCATCAACTGGCGGTCTCCGATGCCATAAATGGTAACAGATGCAATAAAGTCCTACAACAACATCCTCCTGCAATTTCGGAGAGTGAGAGGCTTCTTCCTAGGCAAACCCGTTCAATTCTGGCACAACTAAGGTCCGGATACAGCAATGTACTCAACTCGTATCGAGAGCGCATTGTCCCCGGAACCCTAAACAGGTGCCCTCCTGCCAGCAAAGCCCTCACGACACACACCATTTATTCAATTGTCCGTCCGAGCCTACGAGTCTATTGCCCATAGACTTATGGCTAAAGCCAATAGAGGTGGCGCAATTTCTCCGGCTACCCACTTCAAATCCGAATTCCTAATTAATTAATATATTTTCCTTCTTCCGTTTTCTTTTCTATCAACATTTTTCAGGAAAGAACTTTCGTCAACAGCCAACCTGTTACAACAACAACAACAAAAATTTTACAAAAACAATATTGTTCTTATAGAAATTAAATTGTCATATTGACAATTAGTTTTTGTCAAAAATAAACAAAAACAAATTTTTATTTTTTTGTCAAATAATAATCTATGAGGAATTGAAATCTTTTGTTTTTTTTTTTTTTTTGGAAAATTTACCACATTCTGCCCGAGGCTCCTATATATATTTTTTTTTAATTATGGGTTCCAAATCCGCCCTTCTCAGTGGAAAAGTTGTGTGCCATAAATCGCCGCTCAAAGATCACAAAATAATGAAGATTGTGTTACGTAGCCAGTATACTCGGGAAGAAGTACGGCTATCCACAAATGCTTTTCAATTTAAATTAACATATAGAGATCCACTAGAGAATCTATTCATAATTGCAAAGATTTTGCGCCTAACTATGAGTTAGGCTGGACATCCGCCGAAGATTTTGCAAATACCAATGGGCAGATTCCAATATACAATTTCCTTGGTTTTGAGGGTGGTTGATGAGTTATACCCTACACGTATGGACTTATTTAAACACGTGCTACTCAATATAATCTTCGTGCAAATTGTGATATTTTCGTGAGAAAGCACTACAGACATTATAGAAGTCCATATTTCAGAATGTGCTACAAACAACAATGGACAGATACCAATACAGGCTCCTTGCAAATTTTAAAGGTCCATATTTCAGAGGCCTATAATCAGGAACCCAATGTAAAATATATTTTTTCGTCATTTGAGACTTGTAACATTTTTTGTTCCTATAAATGTATTTTTTGTTGTTAAGCATAATTTAAATATTAAGGAAATGAAACGTCGAAGAAATTTGTTTTGACAATTTATTTCACAAACAATAAAGAAAAAAGTTTAAAACTTACACCTTATTAAATACAAGATGTGGAAGCGATAGAAATTCATATTTTTAAATTTTTGAGGAATGCAAAATATTAAATTATTTAAATAAATAAAATTTCTTGATAATTTGTTTCTTTACATTTTTCTGTCAAATGACGTTGACACTAATATTTGGTATGTTCCCGTACTGCAAGAATCTACTATTTTTTACTCCGATAACACTTTTTTCCTTTATGATATCGAAGAAAATAGTAAAATCGAGTAGATTCTTGCAGTACGGGAACAGGCCAATTACTTACAACAGCAAATTTCCATGTGGTTGTTGTATCGTTTGTTGTGCAACAACACTTGCTATTGTTATACGATGGTAGAACCTGATGGGACAATATTAAAGGTAGAATTTATTGACGATATTAATAAAAACTGAACTCTCCTGTAATTCTTATAATAGGTTTGTCTGCATACTTGTCCAGTAATTCCCTGCAGTTTCACAAGTAGTGGCTGGCAACTTTTCATCGACGATGAATTTTCATCGACTATTAATGCTCAGTAGTAATTTTGAAAGTAGTGTCTCGAACCACATTTAACTTGTACTTCCATTATAGTACGAATACATTTAACCGGATTTGGTTAACCTAGTGGGTTTCAATTGTCAATTCCTTTGCATATATGTCAAATAAATCCTCATAAAGAAGGTTAACCCGGTAAAAAGTTCTAATGTATATACCGTTTTATGGTCTGTTCCAGAACCTGCAAAAATGTACAATTTTTAACTACGATAACAAATTGTCCTTTATGATATCGAAAAAAATAGTTAAAATTATTAGATTCTTGCAGTAGGAGAAAAGATCATTACTCAAATTTAATACAAATTAAAACTACTTGAACATTAGAACTTTTTTACCGGGTTAACCTACTTTATGAGGATTTATTTGACGTATATATTTTTTTTTTTTTATCGTACGTTCCCACGCCTCACTTTCCCACCCCTGCCGACCGAGGGGGCGACCTCCCCTTTCGTAGGGATCGCGTACGCATCATAATCCGCATTATGATGGAATATGAGAAGGGATAGAAAACCAGCTACAGAAATCTACTTCAACAGCCAGTTTGTTATTAAGTTGTATTATTCATTTAAAAATATGATTATATTAGATTTTATTAGGTCTATATTTGCAAAAGTCTACGTTAGAATACACAGAATTGAAATCAATACACATTTTACTAAGTGGATCTCCCATAGAATAATTTGTAAATCTACGTATAATGGTTGATAATATCTACTTGATCGAAAAGGAACATTTATTCTAATGGATGAAATTAGGAAGTCTGAGGGTATATTACCGCTTAGTATTTTAATTACTATCATAGTGTTCAACATAATACGTCTACTTTTTAATGTTGGCAATCGAATTAATTTTAACCTGCTAGTGTAAGAAGGCAACACAGTCACTATTCCAATGTATATCAGCGCAAAAATTAGAAATTGTTTCTGCACTGATTCAATTTTATCGGAATAAATTGTATATTGGGGATCCCATACAACAGAAAATTCTAATATGGGTCGCACAAGAGATGTAAAAATGTAATGTTCAGAACAATTTTAGCCCATCGTTTTATAAATCCTAAGACACCGTGGGCTTTGTTTACCATAGAAATAACATGATTATTAAAATTTAATTTTGGATCCATTAAAATACCAAGATCAACAAATGAATCAACAGTTGATAAAACAGTACCATTAATATTGTATTGCCTTGTTAAAGTAGAAATCTGGAAAAACACATATGCTTACATTTGTTTAGGTTTAAATCCATACAGTTTAATTCGCACCATTGAAAAAGGTTATTTAAATCATTTTGAAGTAAATCAGTAAATCACAACTTGACACCAGCATACAATAGCAATTTGGAGTGGATTATTGGTAAATCATTTATAAATAGAAGACAGAGGAGTTGACCTAAATGACTTCCTTGGGGAACGCCGGAAGGAACATTAATGGATTTGGAGAGACAATCATCAAACAAAACTACCTGTGATCTATTTCTCATATAAGATGATATCCATTTAACTAAATTTATACTGAAACCAATTTGATTTAATTTATATATTAAAAGTTCATGGTTAACCCTGTCAAAAGCTTTACTGAAGTCAGTGTAAATCGTGTCGGTTTGATTACGCTGAATAAAACCTTTTATGACGGTTGAGGAAAATTGAATAAGATTGGTAATGGTTGAGAGGCCACTACGAAAACCATGTTGATATGGGCTTAAGATTGGCTGAACTTTATGAGAAATTATATCAGTAATCAGTTTTTCGAATAATTTTGGAATTGCACTTAATTTAGCAATTCCTCTATAATTCGAGACATTAGTTAAGCTACCAGATTTGTGTAAAGGAACTATATAGGATTTCTTCCAGAAGGTCGGAAAATGACTATATTTCAGGGAATAATTAAACAATAGCGTTAAAGGGATAGCTAATGTATCTGAACAGTACTTTAGAATTATGCTAGGAATGCCATCCGGACCTGGACTTTTAATTGATCTTAAATTACGTAGATTTTTAGAAACATATTGACTTTGTAAAAAAGGCATAGATATTTGATCTATCGTCGATAATTTATAACTATATGTATCTTTATTTGGACAGGGTGAATATGAATATGTTGTAGCGAAAAAATTTGCAAAGCACTCTGAAATTTCAGAGTTTTTCTCAAATGTCTGATTATTGAATTTCAAGATGGTGGGCTTTGACGTAGCTTTTCTTTTTATATTAACAAAGTCATAAAAAGATTTAGGATTGGATTTGAAATTAAGTTTAATCTTGTTTAAATAAAGATTGTAAAGTTTTCGGGACTCTGACGTATATTTAGACCTTGCGACAGCATATTTAGCATAATCTATAGAGGAGCCTGATTTTTTATATTTTTTAAAAAGTTTATTTTTATAATTTTTAATACTTGAAAGCCCAGATGTGACCCATGGATATCGTTCCGAGTTTCTAACTCTAACAATGGGAACACATTCTAGAATAAATTTATTTAGGATATCATAAAATTTATATACTGATAATTCTAGATCAATATGACCCTTACAAATAAATAATGTGCTCCAATTTACGTTTGAGATAAGTGCGTTTAACTTTCGGAAGTCAGTTTTATTATAATTAGGAACAGATTTAAATGATATTAAAGAATTGTTGGTAGCTAAATTATTATGCATCATGGATATGCATAATGTAGGATGGTATTTATCTTCGGTAGTACATACTGAAGGTATTCTAATAATTTCAAAATATTGTGTATAATTCACAAATGCTAGATCTAGAATTCGATCATAACAATTTGATACGCTATTTATTTGATAAAGATTTATGTCGCTAAAACGATTTACAATTTCAAAGGTATATAAGTTTACATTTGCATCAGATGTCAAAGGTGTTAGAGCCTCAGAATCTGGCAATGAAAGCCACTTTGCAAAGGAATTGACAATTGAAACCCACTGGGTTAACGAAATCCGGTTAAATGTAAACGTACTATAATTCAACAAATTTTTATTGCATCGGGGAGTAAACAAAATTTCGAAACAGGTGAACCTAAATACACTATGGTGAAAAATGCACTCGGGATGGTGAAACGTTTAAAAAGGGTGACTTTACCCACTGTCACTGTTTCTAGCTTTTATTGTATCTAGTAATTTTAATTGAATGATTTATGGAATTCAGTTGGTCGTGCACTGTTTTCAAAAAAGCATATACAATAATTAAACTTCTGTTGCATCTACTTAAAACTTCTACCGATTATTTTAATGTGTGGCATGCTTCTAGCAAAATAACCCTTCTATAGGACTTTCGGAAACAAGTTTTCTCAAGACGTTCGGATCATCTGAAACAAAGTGGTTTCAAAACACAATCCACATTCCTACAGTTCAATCATTTTTCGAATGTTAGTCGCATTAAATGAGCATGAAATGAGTACACCTAATTCTGTTTTTACACGAATTATTTTTACACGAATTTGAAATAACACGAGTAAATACGAAAAAATATTTATATTTTTACACGACATAATTTGAAATAACACGAATACAAAAAAAAAAAAAAATACTTTTTTTACATGAACTATTTATTTATTGAAGAAAATTCTGGAATGCTTTTGCTCAAACATCCCTGCCTTAATTAGAGTAACAACCCTGCATGGCATGAATTTCTGATATGGCAACATTTTATATAATTCTGGTGTGTACTTGGCCAGTATCTTTTTTTACACGAATTTCTCGGGAACCATTCTATCGTGTAAAAACAGAATTAGGTGTATCTCCTTATATACACACATTCAAATAACTTCATTGTGATATAATGGTTAACTCGTACTGCATGAGGGTAAACCGTGCATTTTTAAACTTCCTGTTGAATTTCATTCATTTTTTTTCTTGTATCATACTATTATGGCATTTTTTCATACCCCGTTAACGCACGCAAACGCGTTGATGGTTTCGTCCCCTTGTTTTTGTTGTATTATAGATGACAAATAATACGTCGGAATGTTCGACGGATCCATTCTGTTTATGGGGTTTTCTGTATTTATATTTATTTGACAATTTTATTTTTTTCTCCAACCTTGTATTATTGTACCATGCATATAACATTTTTTAAGCCTTGCTTTATAAATAATCTTAGAATTTATTATATGTATTCAAAGACGCAAAGGATACTCTATTTTCGGTCTCCCTAAAACACAGACATTATAGACATTTTCATTAAACAAAAACGCAAAGCCTTTGTAAAGCCAGATTCTGCAAGATAGTTAAACACATAGTAAAAATAGTTTCTAGCAGTGCTGGAATAGACAGACATTCCTGCAGTACGGGAAAAGACCGCATATGATACGACCAAGGATACACGGGAATATCAATGTGTTAATATGAAAAATACTTTGAGTTTCCAACTGAAATAGATTTCTAGAATATTAATGGTTACCATCAGAACTGTATATAGAGCAATAATAAAATATCGTTAACAAATGTTACAAATGTATTTGGAGTAGCTCTCAATTTTCTATTTAATAATAGTGTAACATACTTTTAAAACACACATATATCCAATTATATTTTGTATATTACGTTATTACTTGCTTAATATCGAAAATGTAGGTACTTCAGTAGTTTAGTTTAATGCTAACCATTAAAACTTCATACTATTATATGTTAGGATTATCATACTTTTATAAGACATACTCATTAAGATTTAATTATTATATGCAGTAGTATGGTTTGCAATTTAATTAAAATCGGCCTTTGAGGCTTCAAATTGCACTTTTAGAAATAAATAAATTACGAACCACAGTTCAACTCTCAGTACATTACCATTATGTTACAAACATATATTCAACGTGAAACCACAAGATTAAAATAGAATTACCTTTCAGTAGATTTTCTGCTACATAGTCGGCACCACGGAACAAGTGAGCTTTCAAAAGGTAATACAGCAGCACACCTAAGGTTGGTCGCTCATTCTTACGCCCAGAGGTTCCCCATTCATCAAACAATAGCTGTGCACATAGTCTTCCTGTTCGTTTATTAGCCTTTTCTATGAGACGTATGTGATCATTCGTGTACTTTCTTTCCATGGTAGCAAGTGGGGCACTGGAGTACACATCATTAAAAATGCTGGATGATGGGCCAAACAATTCATTATTAATGTGTTTTGGTATTGTTTCCATCAATTTTTGCCAATAATCGTTATCATCTAAAATGACAGTCAACTGGTACAAGTCCTTTGATTGTACATTTCTCAATTCGGTGTCACGAGTATAAGTGGCTGACATTCTCTCTCAACGCTCGCTGGTTTCTGTAAGGGGTTTCGTTCGGGGATTGTATCTGTATCACTCTTATTATCGTATCCAATAGACAACAAGCATTTTATTTTATGTTAAAAGAATTTTGCAAAAATAATCAACAAGTTACTACACACCCCTAGCAAACAACAGCAACGATATGATATTACTTTCCTGTTTCTCTTTATTAGTATATGGCAGTAATACCATCAGCTGATTTTTCGCATTAAACGTCAAAATCGTAGTGTTGGTAAAATAATTGCAACTGTTGAAATTAGCAAACGATAATGTTCAATTTTGAGTACAGTGGTTTGTTTTGTAACCGTTATTTTTAATTTTTAAAGTGCTGGAAATGTTAATGTTGATAAATCCATCCAATATACTAGCACGCATGGAACAATTATACAAGGTCAACAAGGAGAAAATACACATCTACCCAGTGGGTTACTAATAACGCGAAAAATGAAAGAAATGTCAGGTTTTCTTTTCAAAATCGAGTTGGGAATATGATTTAAATATCGATTCATTCACAAATCATACATTTTTTCTTACCAATGTTGTAAAATTCATATAATGCCATGTTCTGACGAGCATTCGAACAACGTAGTTCGCTCTCAGAATTACCTACATGAATTAACCCGTTCATACAACACTATTTTTAATTCATGTCATCAGAATTTTCTTTTTCAAATTTGTTGTTTCTCCTTTTACACAGAAATCTCAACATATTTGTGTGTATTACCTATAAATTTAAATAGAGAAAATTATTCTCTTTTTCCTGAATATAGTCAGAACCCATAGCTTTTTACTTTTCATTCATGTTTTCCATCTTTTCTCAAAATTTTGTTGTTTTTAATACATTTTTATATTTTCTCAATTCAAATGTCACATACTGTCACATATACAAATTTGGAGAATTTTTTGTTTGAGTTTCCCCACATTTGTTTCTTGTTTTGTACGCTAATTAGAATAAAGGGAAAAGAAATGCATATTGCATTATGTAGAAAACAAAATTTACATCCTGCTGCATATATAAAAACTATACAAATTTTAACTTTCCATTCATCATTTTCAATTTTACTGAAAAAGTTTGAAAATTTTATAAATATTTTCATGCTGTCAAAATTAATTTATTTTCGATAAATTTTCTCAATTGTTAGGGATGGGACAAATTTCTTAGTTATTCAGAGAGCGATTCGAATTGAACAACGTACAAAAGTCGGTGTTCGCTCAGACATTTTTGTATGGGGAACTAAGTAATTACTTCATAATAAACGGTCAAACAACGAATGAGAGAGCGAACGACGCTCGTCTGTCAAAAAATGTCAAAAAATTTTAAACCGAATTGCTTTGTATAGACGCATGAAGCAAGTTCAAAAGAAAGTCCTGATTTATATTAGGCGAGTTTACTTGCGGCAATTTTTATCGTTCTCTTTTGAACTTGCTCCACGCGTCTATACAAGGCAATTCGGTTTCCAAAAAATTTTTTTATTTGTTGTTTTTTCACATTTAAATATATATAAAATGTCAACAAATACGAAATACACAAAACGAATTGCCAGAAAATTGTCGGTACGAACAATTTTTTTCCATTTCTATTCCCCTTGCCCCTCTCTCCTACAAACAAAGACTTGCCGCAAGTAAACTCGCCTAATCTAAATCAAGACAAAACGGTAAGAATTGCCGCAAGTAAACTCGCCTAATCTAAATCAGAACATATTCTATCGAAAATATAGAATGCTCGCGTTCAGCCATCCGTTATATGTTATCGAAAATACAACAACCACAAGAAAACGCCCTATAAGGGCTAAGCAGAATGCTCGCGTTGAGCCATCCGTCGGATTATATGTTATCGAAAATACAACAACCACAAGAAAACGATATGCGTTTGTGTAATCGTTTCCTTGTGGTTGTTGTATTTTCGATAACATATAAGGCGACGGATGGCTCAACGCGAACATTCTGCTTAGCCCTTTAAATATATTTTAACTTTGTGCGTGAGCCATCCCTCGCGTTATGTGTTATCGAAAATATAACAACCACAAGGAAACGATAAAATTAACGCTAGAAGTTGATGTCTACTGCACTTCAGGGTTTTAACTTTTTGCGTGCGTTAACGCGATAACAAAAAACGCTCAACGCGAACATTCTGCTTAGCCCTTTATTATGGTTGGCGTTGTCGTGTCGATAATTGGGCCCTGTCGCATGGTACAAGGGTAGCTGTTGTCAAAAAGGAGAAAATACACCTCTACCTTACTGGCAATAATGTCAGAATAAATGAAAACAAATATAACAAGTCGTTTTGTTCATTTGACATATTTTTAACATTTTACCAAAAACGCGAAAAATGAATGGAATGTCAGGTTTTCTTTTCAAAATCGAGTTGGGGATATGATTTACATATTGATTCATTCACTAATCATACATTTCTTCTTACAAATGTTGTAAACTTCATCTTCAAACAAACCGATTTTCGAATATATTTTGTTATATTTTTCCAAACATTACACACACAGCCACACATTTTGTATTTGACTTTGGCATAACAAGCCACAGTAAGAAAAATTACCTACACATAATGCCATGTACAGACGAGCGTTGATCGCTCTCTCATTCGTTGTTCGACCCTTAATTATGAAGTAACTTAGTTCCCCATACAAAATTTGCTGAGCGAACACCGAATCACTCTCTGAATGACCAAGAAAATTGTACCATCCCTATCAATTTAGAATAAATTAATTTTAACAGCATGAAAATATTTTTTTTTTCAAAAATTTTCATTAAAATAGAAAATGATGAAGGAAAAGTAATAAATTGTCTAGTTTTTTTTTTAGGATGTTAATTTTGTTGTTATCTACATAATGCAATATGCATTTCTTTCCTCTTGGTTCTAATTACCGTACAAAACAAGAAACAAATGTGGGGAACCCAATCAAAAATTCTCCAATTTTTTATATGCGACATTTGAATTAAGAAAATATATTTAAAACAACAATATTTTCAGAAAAAATGGAAAACATGAATTAAAAGTACATATATATATATATATATATATATATGGGTTCATGCAAAGCACCAATAAATGTTTTGTTCCATCTACCTTGTACTAGTAGCTGTCATGGCGGACCAATCGACAGAAAAAAATCGATATCATTTTCGATTACTGACGAGACGACGTATATAATTCATTCATCTTTGTTTTTCTCCCATTAGAAGTTTGTTTTTTTCTGTACAAATATATTTTTATTTAATTTAGTTTTCAGTCAATCAGTGTTTTTAAATAAGGTAATATATAATACATATATATGTCTGTGAATCATTTGAAGGTGTAAAATATTAGGCACGTTAAATTTGTACACGAGTTCATTCATAAGAATGTACAGTGTTTTGAGCCTAATTAAGGTGTGGTTTGAGTTGTAAGACGTGCTTAACAATATGAAAAATATTCTCTAAGAAATTTTGAAAGATTATTTTTTTTGTAATTTAACATAAATGAACACCAACAAGTATTGTAATGATTTTTATTGAATTGTTGTAATAAATAATTTTTGAAGCAACAGTTCAATAAATTGAATAATTGAACTAAGAATGTGAATTCAACTATGAAGCCACACCTACAAGTCAACGGATTTAATTAATTGTTGTTGCTTTTGTGTTTTAACGATGAATAGCATTTTGTTTACAAATTACATGACTGTTCATACAACAACACAATGTACATGTAGCACACGATATATAGAATTTGCTATAAATTAGCTGTTAGTTTTAAAATTTATCATTTTAAACAAATAATAATATAAATTGTTTTCTCTTTTCATGTGCTATAGACTCTGAAATGTTTAATTAGAAGTATGTACTTTAAATAAAGAGCAGCACTGTATTTAATTTTCCGAAGAATCTCATCCGCAATCAAAGGCGAAAATGTTTTTTTTAGAAAAACTCTCAACAACAAATTCTTGTTGTGGTCCCTTGGCATTTATTTTATTGCTGCCTATTGTGTCCTCAAGAGCACAATTAGCCTCTGACCCACAAACATATCAACCAAGATATAATCCACAATATACAAACGCACAGCAGAACACCCTATCTGGTACAACTCAGTATGAAAATCCGCTGCTGACATCATTGCAAGATCAAAATCAATTGGGTGGGAACACCAATTCTAATAATTACTATGAATCAAATCGTCAACTGAGCTCGAATAAATTGGGTGGTTCAACGAATTACGATCCCTTCAATCGTAATCCTGGATCGAACACTGGATACACAGGAATAGGATATGTTGATTCTTACAGTGATGAGGATAACTTCTGTCCTGAGCACTGGATATCATTCCGCCAAACATGCTACAGATTTATTCGCTCTCCAAAACGGAATTGGATGGAGGCAAAGAAGATTTGTAAAGCCTACAACGCCGAACTAATAAATGTAGACAATATTGAAAAACATGCGTTCGTTTTAAAACAACTTATACTTCAAAATCAAAGGCAGAATAGGTTTTGGACTTCGGCGCGCCAGGTTGGTCCCAACAGTTGGGTTAATGACGATAACTCCCCCTTTCTCATGGTGGAAGATGCTTTCTCATTCGACGAAGATGAAGCCATTGAAAATGAGGACCTACACGACAATCGTTTCCTAGTACAACGTAATTACAATAATGATTTCAATCGCAATCCAAATGAGTATTTCAACACTATTGGTGGGTCTGCAAATAGAAATCAAAACAGAGGATTTGGTGGTTAGTTGTTGTATAATTTTTAAATCATGAAACAAACATTAATGCACTTGTTAATTTACACTTACAGGTCAGTTTGGAGACAATGGCTTTATACGAGACCGACTAGTTTACGGGTATTCAAAACTCAAGGACAAATGGATGTTTATGCCTACTTACGACATTAAATTAAATTTGTTCATTTGTGAGTCAACACTATTGCACAATCCGGAGAACATCAATTTGAAGACCGACGAAAAACGACCATTTCACTATGGCATGGACATACGAGATGCCGAGAAAATTCCTCGTGGCCCATTCTTTGTGAAACAACCAAATGATACAACGTTCGATACGAGTAAAAATCGTCTAATTAATGATGTTACACTAAGTTGTCTCGCTGGCGGGTATCCTACGCCAACGTACAGTTGGTATCGTGAGGTCTACGTTAATGATACACTTGAATATAAGAAAATAGATCCATTACAAGACGATCGCTACACGGTGTCTGGCGGTAATTTGATTATCTATGATCCCAAGCAAGCTCTGGATCAAGGTGCTTATCACTGTGTGGCAGAGAATAAATTCGGTCGTATTCGTTCTGAAAGTGCTCATTTAAATTTCGGCTTTATAATGGAATTTAATTTAAAGCGGTCTGCAGAAACTGGAGATATGAATTGGGGCAAATCAATTTTCTGTGATCCCCCTCAGCATTATCCGGAAGTAAAGTATTATTGGTCTCGAGACAAATTTCCGAATTTTGTTGATGAAGATCATCGCGTTTTTGTTTCCAATGATGGTGCATTGTATTTCTCATCGATTGAAATTGTGGATAGGGCGAATTATTCGTGCACAGTTCAAACTGTTGTTTCGGACACTGGACGAAATGGGCCTTTCTTCCCATTACGAGTTAAGCCCAATAGTAACTACCAGGCGTTGATATTTGCAAATTCATTCCCAAAGGTAATTAAAAATGATATTTTTATTTAAAATAGTCAGGATAAATCCCCGCTTGTTGTTTTATGGAACAACGATTTATTAGTGGGAAAATTATTCATTGTTCCCCATGGGGTATGGCTAAGAAGGCATTGCTTCTCATTGCTGTTACAGCAATACCATATGTAATTTGTTTTTATTTAAAGTCGTACTATTTTAATCACAGTTTTTTGTTTCATAAATCGTATAAATAGGATAATAGTTTCTGATCTCGCATTTCCTTTAGTTTTGTGTTAGAGATAATTTCTATTCATTTACTGTTTAATCAAATTCAAGATCCGATAATAATAACACAACAAAATATGTGAGTACGACACCAGTTAATGAAGGATGGGAATAACTTGAATTGCTTCATTTAGTATTTAGTGATGCATGATCATTATTTGAAATACTTCATATATCTCTTTTTTTCCTTTTTCAGGTGTTCCCTGAAGCCCCAATTGCTGGCGATGAAATTCGATTGGAATGTATGGCATTTGGTTACCCTATACCATCCTATAATTGGACAAGACGTGGACAACCATTACAGCGAAATGCATACACAACGAACTACAATCGTGTATTAATCATTCAAAATGCAACAACAAATGATAATGGTGAATATACTTGTACCATTACAAATCCGCGGAAGTCATTGGAGAAGTCGGTATTTATTAACATTCAGATGAAACCTCAATTTACGATACCGTTGAAAGACAAAGTGAAGGACTATAACAGTGATGTTACCTTTATCTGTGAGGCATTTGCTATACCAGACGTAAACTACACTTGGTATAAGAATGCCGAATATTTAGATCCGCAAAAGATCGATAAAGACCGTTACGTCATACAAGACAATGTTTTAACAATAAAATATCTTGAACCAGATCGTGACGATGGCATGTATCAATGCGGTGCTGCTAATCAACTCAAAACAGCCTATTCCTCTGCACAGTTGCGCGTCCTTACAATGAAACCTTCGTTTAAGAAAAGACCACTTGAGTCAGAGATTTATGCTGTCTATAATGGTAACACAACGATTGAGTGTGATCCGGAAGCAGCTCCTCGACCAAAAATTCAGTGGAAAAAGGATGAACAAGTTATAGGTGCCGGTGGTCACCGTCGCATTCTTCCCAGTGGAACCTTAATAATTTCACCAACATCGAGGGACGACGAAGGTGTATATAGCTGTGTAGCTTCAAATCTAGCTGGATCCGATGAGTCCCGTGCTCGTCTGATTGTACTGCGTAAGTTGAATAAACAATTATGTAAGGAAAATTCAGACATAATGTTTTAATTTCCTCTCTGTAGAAGAGCTTAGATTCGTTCAAACTCCTCCTCCAAGAATTACCACCCAAGTCCACGACTTGATTTATATACAATGTGAAGCTACGTACGATGAACTATTGGATGTGGCCTATATCTGGAAACGCAATGGTGAAGTTCTGCGCAATAATCACGATGGCACTGAACGAATTGTGAGTAAATTTCCAACATTCATTTGATTGCATCAATTGTCCTAATGACTTCTTTAGAAGTGCTAAAATTGAAATAAATGAATAAATTGACCTGTTCCACTTACATTCAATTATATTTTTTTGTTTTCAGATAATCGACTACAATCGGTTGACAGTGCACAATGTTACTATGCTGGATGGTGGCGATTATGAATGTGTCGTAAAGTCTTCCGTAAATGAGATTACAGCCAAAACACATGTTGTTATCGAAGGCGCTCCCAGTGCACCGGGTGGAGTACAAGTTATTGAAATTGGCAAGACAAAGGCACTGATAGAATGGGTGGATGGTGGAAGCAATGGACGCCCAATCCGATACTATAACATTCTGGGACGAACTAATTGGAATCGGACGTGGGTAAATGTGTCAACACATGTGCAGGCGCGTGAAGTTGATCGCTACACCAACAGACAACAGGCTGAGGTAACCAACTTGACTCCTTGGTCATCATATGAGTTTAGCGTTGCCGCAGTAAATGACCTAGGAATTGGTATGCCGTCAGCACCATCACCCATATACAGCACCCATGAGGATAAGCCATATATAGCACCCCGCAATGTTGGTGGTGGTGGCGGTAAAATTGGCGACCTAACCATTACTTGGGATCCCCTACTGCCCGAAGAACAACACAGTCGCGGTATACATTACAAAGTATTTTGGCGCTTGAAAGGTAAATTTGAATGGGCTTCTGAGATTATAGACCGACACGATCACATTGGCATGGCTGTGGTAAACATTCCGCTTAATAACTACTACACCGAGTATGAGGTAAAAGTACAAGCCATTAATGATGTTGGAAAAGGCCCAGAAAGTGAACCGGTTACAATTTACTCGGCCGAGGATATGCCACAAGTGGCACCACAAAAGCCAATAGCTATTGCTTTCAATTCCACAGCATTTAATGTTACATGGGAGCCAATTGAGATGACACGCGAAAATATTAGAGGAAAACTAATTGGACACAGGGTACTTTGACAAAGGCTATTAAACGTTTTAGCAAATATTAATTAATTAATTTATTTTTTTTAGATTAAATATTGGAAGACCACACATCAAGAAGAAGATGCTGTTTACTATTTGTCACGCACTATTAGGAATTGGGCTTTAATCGTCGGTCTTCAACCGGACACATACTATTTCGTGAAGGTAATGGCTTACAATGCTGCTGGCGAAGGTCCTGAGAGTGAACGCTTCGAAGGTGAGAAAGTCATTTGTTTAATTTTAATAGAGTAATAAGTATTTAATATTTATAACTTCCAATTCCTCAGAGCGTACGTACAGAAAGGCTCCACAGAAACCACCATCATCGGTACATGTGTACGGCATAAATCCATCCACCGTAAGAGTGGTGTGGCGTTATGTGTCCCCCGCTCAGGATGAAGAACCAATAGAAGGCTTTAAGGTTCGTGTATGGGAAAGCGATCAAAATATGATCACAGCAAATGACACAATTATACCGGTCGGACAAAAGCTTGAGGCGTACATTAACAATCTGACACCGGGAAAGAGCTACAATATGCGCGTTTTAGCCTACAGCAATGGCGGCGATGGTCGAATGTCTAGTCCAACACTACGCTTTCAAATGGGTATGTTAGCAAGTAATTAAATGTAAATAATTTCCTGATTTTAATACATATCATTCTTTTTATAGGAAAAACAACGCGAAACCATGCGAACCGACGCTACAATTTCAACTTGAATACTTTGTTAATTGTCACATTTTTAACATTTATATCAACATCTCTATTTAATAACTAACGATATTTTTAATCTATTTCTGTCAAAAATTTCAGCGCACATTCCATCCAGTATATATAAATATGTATTGAATATTAGCAAACATTCCGTCCAAATTTTGAAAAATGTTTTTAGAATAAGTATACACTTTGATAAGTCGAATGCAATCTCAGTTTTTTTATTGCAAAATATAAATTATAATTATTTTTATATTTACACAATAGTACATCATACTAACACTCTTAAAGTGCCCTTACTATATTAAGAAACATAAAATACAAATACGTCCAAATACTTATACACATATACATACATACACATATTACGAAGATGTATGCCTGGTGTTAAAAATTGTTTATAATTTTAAAAAATGTTCAGTTATTATTTTCATATATATTTTTTATGTATGTATACAATAAATAAATAAAATAAAATCACAAAATTTTCGATAAACAAAATATTACTTCCGCGAGAGTATAGGGCGCGTTTAGACTATGGCATTTATTATTATTATTTATTTTGCCGAAAATGGTCTTTCAAATTGGAAAAACTGCGCAAAAGACCGACGCGCCTGGAAATCTTTTCTAAGCTCAGCTTATGGAACGAAAGTTCTGTCACAAGCCAGGCTATCTAGCCCATCGAGATACAAATTATAAATTGTGTTGTGTTTTGGCTGTGGTTTTAATTTAAAGGCGAAACAATTAGTTTTCGCCTCCGCAAAAAAATGTTAAATTTACGTTTTCTCTATGAATCTCTTACTGAAGGATCTATTATTCTAAGAAGAAGATGTTATTAAATCTTCACCCGAATTTGAGGCGAAAATAGAAAATTATCAGCCTTATTCTGGATGTCAATTCCACGTGAATTTACTCGCTCTTCCCTTCGTCTTATTCTGAACAACATTTTTGTGTGAATTTTTTAGCATTCTCGCTTTCGCCTTATTCTGAATGAAGTTCGAAAGCGAAAAAATCCGCTTTGGGGAAAAATTAGGTAATCTGGATTACAGGGAGTAGGAGAATGAGATGAAATTTTGTGTGAATTTTTTCGCTAATAAATTCAAAGTGTGTTGACTACAAAAACATAAGTAATAAATATTTTTATGAAAAATATTAACACAATACTTATTCTATGACGATTTAGAATATTATAAATGATAGTAAGCAAATATTTATCTGGAAAACAGCAAATAAAATGCCTTTGGAAATCCTATTGATAATGATGCATGCTTAACCAAATATTGCCAAGGAATGTATAAAGGTAATAATGAATATTTAAGTCGAGTTTGATGCATTTTGGAGGCGAAAAACAGACATTTTGGGTGAGGATCTGTATCTCAAGAAAAAAATTATAGAAAAACAAAATTTGCCTAATGAGCCGCTTAACAGTGAAAAACTTAAATAAAAATTATGAAACAAAAAAAAATATTTTTTTCAAAATTATTGTTTGCATTATTTGAAGGAAGAAATAAAGGAGTAGGAGCATAACAGGCCACTTTAAGAATTTGGAGAGATAAAATATCGAAATTAAATAAAAAGGCACACAATTATGTGCCTGTGTTTTTCCCATCATAAAAAATGTTCTTTTATTTGTAATCTATTGTAGTTGTTGTACCAAAATGCATCAAAACAATGAACAGCTGTTTCACATGTCATATTGTAGGTTGCCATATTTTCAAACTTTAATTAATTTTCTTTTAATTACAAAGCATTTATAAAGCGGATTCTTGATATTTCACATTTATATTGTTATAAAGTTTAAACCACAATAACAAGTAACAATTTTTAATAAAATAATCAATAAATAAAATATTCATGGTATAATAATAGAAGGTAACAGCAAGTGTTGTTGTACAACAAACGATACAACAACCACATGGAAATTTGTTTTTGTAAGTTATACTAGTGTCAACATCATTTGACAGAAAAATGTAAACAAACAAATAAATTATATTTATTTTGAAAATAAAATATTTTCGAATCCATAAAAAGAATTTGAAAAAACATGAATGAAAATCTATCAAATTTATATTTCTATCGCTTCCACATCTTTCCTATAATTGAGCTATTGCTTCTTATATGTGTAACACATATGAAAATGCAGGGAATTGCGAGTTATTCAATGAAGAAAGATTTGCTTCCTCAAACTTTCCCAACAGGCAGATTGTGTAAAATGAATACGGGAAGACATTTAATAAAGAACAATTTCAAATTGTATGTGTTCCCAAATTTCCTGTTGGGTGATTTTTAAAAATATAATTTGTCAAATTCATATTGACACTAGTATTACTTTGGAATCAAATCAGCTGGGACTTGCTGTTACCTTTTATAATTGTACCATGTAAAATATTGAAAAATATTACACAATTAAATTAAATGGGGCAACACACATTACAACTTAAATTATAATATGGCAACACGAATCTTTTTTTCAACGCATTTTTTGCGTCTCCCCAAGGTAGATATACAAGGTAGCCGCATCGGCGAATTTCTACAACAAACATCGGTTGTTGTATTTTGATATGTCAAAAATATTTTACCAAAACAAACAGATTGACAAGATTTTTTTACACAAATTCTTGTAGAAAATGTTAATAAAAGTATTGCCAAAAAAGCTTTTCGAAATTCGGAGATTTTCATCTATAATTTTGTTTTTTAATATTTTTGGTTCAACATTACAACAACATTTTTGACATTTATTTGTCCAACAGCTGGGCCGATGCGGCTACCTTATTAAATATACCTTCATTCAGAATAAGGCGAGAATGTGAAAGCGAAAATTTTTGTATGTGCGAGATATCTCCCAGCGAATATCCAGAATAAGGCTGTATGTGTCGTGGAGACAAGCGGTACATAACGCGTATAAGGTTTTCGAAAAATATGATGGTAGCTCAAGGCACTACCAAGCGGTTTGCATCATTAGGAATAATATTAGAGGATCGGCAGATGCACCATTAGCATGATTCAAAACTGTGTTAAATTTTAAAGCTATCATAAATAGATTAGATTTTACGTATTCAGATAAACAACCAATTCATCTGATCGAACAGGATCAGATGAATTGAAGTAGAGAAGAAGCTTTCATTGTTAACTAATAACACTATTATGAGTTATGACAGAAATCTAGCTTTAGCCATCAATAACAAATACCGACACGATGCACTCAGAGTATATGTTTCCGGATTAAGGAAACATCTTCGAGGCCCGTTTCGGTGATCTCTAGCCTTAGCGCAAGAAGTGGAGGCGAATCATGAAAGTTACGTTTTCGCTACATCGTTTGCGAATAGGAATGATGAGAAAAGATTAGGGTCGAAACTTCAAAAAAATTTCAGTTATGAAAACCGTCTGATAATTGGTCTGTTCCCGTACTGCAAGAATCTATTTATAACAATAACCAACAAAACTATCATAAACATAATTTACAGCCTAGAGATCAAACCGAAGAAATGGACTTGGATCCAACGTCGTCTAAATTCAGACAACCGACCAATTATGGCAACGGTAAAAATTCTCACAGAAAACCATTTAAACGTCAAGCTGGGTCAGACCGGAGTACGGGCCCAAAATTCCAAAAAGTTAATAACATAATTCCAGAAGTTTATTCAGGAGAAGAGCAAGCGGAACACTGTGGTGACATAGCTCAATCTGAATTTGAAGACATAAACGACCAATTAAAGGAAGATTGTGATTATGTTAATTTTTTAGAGGAAGGTCCCTAGTACCGTTCTTAAGGCGAACGATAGCAGGAAAATCAATACGCCTTTTAATTACACAAAAATTATATAAAACCTCTCCATGAACTGAAAAATATAATATCCGTAAGTACTCCTTTCTCGGTTCACGCTGTCAATGGGCACACACCTATTTAAAATGTTCGTAAATTTATTCGGTATGAACTCTACATTCTTCGTTTTGCCAAATTTAACAACATTTGACGGTATTGTGGGCTTAGACCTATAAAAACATATCTATGTAAACGTTGATTTAAATAAAGGAGCCATCCTGCATAAAGGAGTCATCCTACAAAATTGATGACTCAATAAAACCACCCATATGTCTTTTTTACCGGAACTTTGAGGCATTCTTCGACGAAAGAGCCTATGAACTTTGGCACAACGAACCTAGATGCAACGTGTCAATATCCATTTGGGCGACTCTGTCTACCAAAAGAAAGCACTCACTGTTGAACCTGAGCAAAGTTGAAATTAGAGTGATGACAGGAATCATCACTGGTCACTGCAATATCAGGGCTTTTACTAGTAAATGGGATATTGATGCAATTGATTACTGTAGACTCTGTGTTGACGAGGAGGAGACGGAGACAATTGAGCATCTCCTGTGTCACTGCCCAGCCCTGGCTTACAGGCGGCACAGACTAGTGGGTGCTCATTTTCTACCGAGTCTCAGCTTCTTCTCAACAACCGAGACTGATCTAATTTACAGCATAATTAGAAACCTAAAGTGGTTAGGAACATACAACCTTGACATTTATTCATATAAGTTTCTCAACTCCCTTTATTTCCCCCAATCTTCTCTCCCCTACAGATCTGTCTTTATCTCTCCTCTTCACTGTATCTCCTCTCGTGGATGATCACAACGGACCTAATCGGTCTCAGAGTGCTGCAGCCACATAAGTGACTGCTCATCCCCAAACCTAACCTACATAATTCTGGCTCTGAACTAATTGAATTTTTTGAATGTAAAGATGTTAATTTTATAGACGTCGACAAAATTGATGTGTCCTTCGCAGTTAAGGCGGAAAGGAAACAAAACGAGACCTTACAACACAAATATCGTTGCTACCATTAACATCGAGAATGAAAAACCTATTTACTCTAAGCTATATCCATACCCAATGGGGGTGTTTACGTCGATGACGTTATTGTTTTTTTCAGAAACCAAAGAGGATCATGTTAAACATATCGACTGTGTTCTTAGGAAACTGCTCAATGCAAACATAAGAGTCTCTGTCGAAAAATCATTTTTTTTAAATCTGAAATATAGTAGGTATAAAAACGGCACCATCAAAGATAAG